TGCACCAGGAGTGTTTTATGCGGTGAAACTCAAAAGCAGAGATGACCTACATGCAAGCTCGACTGCAACAGGCACCGCCCAATTTGCGCTGATGCCTTCGGACTTGTCTCGTCAGACATCCCGGTGCAAGGAACTTCCAACACCTACGGTGTTTTTACCACTCTGTGTTGCAAAACTAATTACATGTTAAAAAGGAAACAAACCTTAAAACAAAACCAAAACACCAAACTTGAACTTTGCTGGTAGACAAGCATTTTTCTTCACTTCATGAAATCGCACGACTTCAAGATCTCTGAAGATCAAACCCCCAACATCCTTATTTAGTTATTACCCTGCAGAACTACGATTTCTTTAGGAATAAAGGAATGGGGCTTAATGGTTCACCCTCTTCCCCTCCCTTCCATTGCTGCCTGTCCTGCCGGCGGCTCCAGGCGGAGCACTCACCTGCCCGCCCCGCCGCAGCCAGGGAGGCGGACGGTGGATCGCGGCTCGGAGCCGGAGCCGATGGCGGCCGCCGACCCGCCGGGCGCAGACCTCTCGCAGCTGGTGAGCCCGGCGGCGCGGAGCGGGGGCCGGGGCTGGGGCGCCGTTTGCTGTGGGGCTCCGTCTGGGTGGGCGTCTGCCCGGGACCGGGGCCGCCTCGCCTGCGAGTCCTCCCAGACAGGCGAGCGGAGAAGGGCAGGAAGCCGGCGGAGAGGGGCGGGAGGACGCGCGTCCGGGGCAGCCGCCTCGGGGCCGCTGCATTCTGTGTTTCTCTTTTTCACCCGCAGGCGGAAAACCTGCTGTATCAGCTGCAGGAGAATTTCCAAGCTCTGACTGAAAAGATAACGCTGAGAAATATCCTTTCGGGCCGGGTTACTTAGCCCTGCGGGACGGGTTTCATGCTCCTGCGGCTGCGGCTCCCCCGCTGAACCGGGCCTGGTACTCCCCCTGCGCGCTGATGTGAGAAGGAGCTTTGCCTTTTAATGTCCGGGCGAGCTTTTTTTCCCTACCCATCAAATTAAAATGTAATAATTGATGTTGCCAAGTACTATGATGTAAAGACAGACGAACTGCCCCCAAAGCCCGTTTTTTCCCTTTACGCTTAGTAGACCCTGAAGACCTCCTGAGCACAGGAAGATGAGCCCTGAAAAGGAGAAAATCATACCTGAAAGCACTCTGAGCTTGCTCATTAGATGTACTTGCAGAAAATACCTCTGCTTTCTGAAATGGGGAATTTATTACATTTCCCATTTTTCCTGAAACTCAACCTTTCAGGAAGTGGCTGCTTTAGTGCAAGAAAATAATTATGTTTTATATGATCAGAATATCTAGTGGAAGGTGGATTGGAACTGTATTGCCTTTAAGGTCCTTTCCAACCCAAACCATTCTATGATTTATGAACATGAGCATAATGTTTTATGTAATCAGAATATGAGCAGCACTCATACTCTGTGTAGGCTGGCTGCATGGAATCACCTAAAACAGTTCCTCATAAAGAAAGCAATCTCTTACACAGAAAATACTCCAGCTCGCTCCTGGGAATGAATACAGGAAGGCATTTGAAAAGAGGAACATAAAAGCTTATCTCTTACCTGTTGCAAGAGGAAGTGGGCATACAACCTTGCCCATGCTTCATCTTGCATTAAACGTAAGTGGCTGAAATATGTGGAAGCAAGCTGCTTGTTTTTCTCACAGAAAAAAAAAAAAAACAACACAAAATATACCTTATTCTAGGTTTATAAAAAGTTATCTTTAACATTTTACTGGAAGAAATGGGTGAGCGCATTGATGACCTTGAGAAGCATGTTGCTGACCTGATGACAGAGGCTGGGATAGAAAACACCGATGAAGGGGTAAGAGTAATGTAACTTATTTTTTACTGTGTTTTACATATTTCCACTTAGTTCTGAACTATGAGTAGCTCACAGCATGAAAATACTGTTTATTAATCGTACCTTTTATTTACTTGGATTTTAAAGTATACTGCAATTAAAAAAAAAAAACACAAACCAAAAAAGAAACCCCACAAAACCCAAAATTGTAAGTATTTTGGATTTCGTTTTGCCAAGAGCAAAGAATGCTACTAGATTTTCAAAAGCAAAACTAGCTTGCTGCATCTCTTCCAGCTGAGTGCCATATACATGGGGTAGTGCATACTAATCCCAAATACAAAACTGAGGCTGTACATCTGGAATAAAATGTGTTGCTTAAAGCACTCCTGCCCACCATTCCTGGCCCTCAAGTAAGCTAACCTAGCTGAGGATTCTCACTGGTATAAATTTATGTATCTTTGCTTTTAAACCCACTTCAGCTTCCCAGCGTGGCTCAGAGAACACCACTTAAATACATTCACCCCAAACACAGCAGTAGTTTGTTCTTGCAGCAGCTAAGATGTGGGGTGGAAGAAGCAAGGATAACTTCAGTGGTATTCCCAGATAGTCTGTAATACAAGTTCAGGATTGCGTGCTGGATTTTATATCACTGTCTGCTGCAAATTTCTACATTTGTTGTAATGTAATCCACTCACTCCCTGATGGATGTCTTGGCGTGCTTAGTATTTACAAGACAGTATTGCTTCCGTGTTCTGTGGGCGCCAGGAAGGTCATGCCTGTTGCGGCATGCTTTCCTGATTCAAACTTGACATATCGGTTACTCTTTGTCATTTGGAGACTACTTACCCAGTCAAAAACAAGCATGTAAATCTACTAAAGTAATTTAAGCATCTGTTTGTTCTGATGCTTTTTTTTTGTGCTATAATTTTTAGAAATACAGAAAGCCAATCCTTGAAGATGCATTTAACTGTACAGAGATCTTCCTATTTTTATGCTGAATCACATTCATGAATAATTAAATCACTAACCTACTTACTGTTTCTTTGCAGCAATGAAATGGGATGTGATCAAGAAAGACAAAGAATAGCACCGCACTGGACTGAGGAGTTCACAATGAGTGCTGCTAGACATCAAAAATGTTAATGAAAACATGCTTGCATCATGTCATGATAGTTACCTCTTTAAAAAAAAAACATCAAACCTACTGTCCTGTAGAAAGCTTAGTTTATTCATCTAAATGGCACCCCGTATTTCCTGTCATAAAGAACAGTTAGTTTCAGGGAAGGCAAAAACACTATTTTGGATAGAAAACGATATCCTGTATACTGAACTTGTCCAGTCACCAACTTTTCCAATGTATGAAAATGTATTTCATTTATTTCAATAATATTAAAATTTCCTTTTTTTTGTTGCCTTTTTAAGTGTTCTCAGAGTAACAAGATGCTTCTATGACAAAACTTTTCCCATTGCATGTGCCATTTTGATGTTTCTTTAAATGTTTTACACTACATAATGTACCTTATTTGATGTTACTACAATGGTGTCTTTGCAAAACTTCAAAGGTCCCATGCATATAGCCTGTTCTGCACTAAAAGAAATGGCAGTATTTCCACAGATCAGTTGTACAGCTGTTTTCACAAGCTCACTCAAAGCTGTGCACACCTGTGCAGGTAACATCATCTAGGTATGCATATTATGACAATTTAATTTATTTAACATCAGACATTTTGATGAAAAGCCTACTTTAAAGGCTTTGACATAGATAAAGAATTCTAGTTACCAAATGTGTCCTGAACAGACATGGTAGAATCAAAGGAAATAGGAAATCTGCACTAACTTTAAGGTTCTTGTACACCAAAACATTGGCACTTTTTGCAGGAAAGCTTTTGTTTGAAATTTAACAGGAACCTCTTATAACAAATGTAGAAATTGAAAAAAAAGTAGAATAAAAAAATTGAAGAAATTAGAATAGAAATTGAAGAAAATAGAAATATATTACCTCAACAAATAAAGGATGTTTTTTAAACCTTCAGCAGGTGTTACTATGAAAGAGTTTTCATTAATACAAAGAACTCGTTCTCATTGGTGCTTTAATCGGTGTAGATTGGCTAGCAATGTCAAACTGGGGAGGAGGAGGGGAAGGATTAAATTCTTGAGGACAGGCTGAAGGAATGGGCCAACAGGAACCTCATGAAGTTCAAAGGCAAGTAGCAATCCTCCCCTCCAGGACAGGGTAAGCTTATGCTGAAGAGCAGTTGTGAGAGGCTGGCTGGCGTGCAGCAGGAAAGGAGTCTAGCAGACAAGCTGAACACGAATCAGCAGAGTGCCTTGGGCTGCAGCCACATGCTGGTCAGCATCAGCACAAGCAGAGCCAGCAGGACATTCCCCTCTGTTAACTCCTTTGAGACCATACCCAGAATATTGTGTTAGTTTGGGGGCTCCCCAGTTCAACATACATATTGTTATGGGGGGAATTTGAACAGACAGCCATCAAGATACGATGAAGTACAAAGCATACAAAAGTTTGAGAGAATGCCAGTAGTTCAGCCTTAAAAAAGGCTGTAGCTTCTTGCTGGCAACAACTACCCTATGGTAGAGCACAGAGAACAGTTAAGACTCTCGTTGGAGGTGTTTTACAGACACAAGTGGGAATGCAGAAAATTCCAGCTAGATGCAAGGGACGCTTTTTTTCAAGTACAGAGGTGCTCCAGCTGCAGAACATGCTTTTCAGAAAGACTGAGGAATCTCCACCCTTAGAGATATTAAAAACTGGACACAGTCCTGGACAACCTGATCAAGTGTGATTTACTTTGACTGGGAGCTGGATGGTCCCTTCCAACATAAATGATTTCATAATTAATAGCAACTATAAATCAGATTAACTTAAAACAGAAATTGGGAACCTGTATTTTACTTCCTCAGCTTAGTCTAAATCCTCTAAAAAATGAACTTTACAGTAAAAAAAAAAACCCCAAACAAACAAATCCATATTGAGCTTTGTCTTGTGACCTGTGCTTTTGGTCCAGTTTCTATCTCCTTTCTGCACAGTCTGGCTTGTTTTTTTTCTTCATCCCACAAATATGCATGTATCAGTTAGAAAAACAACACTGGCTCCATTACCACAAAAACTAAAGTGGTCAAAAATGCAAATTTTAAAAGACATGCCACAGTGTAATCAAATCCAAGTCTCATGGGTATATATGCATTTTAGTATACCATCAGTCAAACCAGAGGTCAAATAAGAAAAAGCACAGCTCATCCTTACTTCAGCTGTTGACTATGCAGCCAGCTCCAGAACTGCAATTACCCTTCGGCACTGTAGAATCTACTAAATACTTCAAAATTACTACCATATGCATAATTATCATGAAGAAGTCCATCACCACAGATCAATTTCGTTGATTGGGGCACATGCGTGGACGCAAAGTCATGGAAGATGTTTTCTCTGAGGTTTTTTTCCTCTGAGCTAAATATTAATAAATACATCTTAGTGGTTTAGTCTATTTTTAGTGGATACAGAAGACCAAGATACTATGCAAGAACATTCCAACAGAAGTGATGAGCTTTCATCTTCAAAATTATGACTTTGCATCCAATTAAATTTGTTTTGTTTCTCAAATTTAATTATCTAAAGAAAATTAAGGTGAATAAGTGGAATTCACTTTATTTTTTTATAAAAAGTTGTAGTATAGTTTTATCATCTATTTATGTAACAAAAAAAAACCAAAACCAGTTGAAATCATTTTCTGCAAACAAGCCTTTTAGGTACAAAAATACATAATGCCAGAAGGACACCACAGAGTTAAGCTTTAAAAAAAAAAAAAGGAAAAGCCAACCCAAAATTAATCTACAGCAAGTACTACTGCATTCAGACAGATCCAGGCTTCACATCTTCTCCTTTTCCAAATGGAATTCAAAATTTTTAAATAATTCAAAATATGCTCAAAGTTGAAGAAGTTGTAGGTTTGCTTTTTTTTAATATATATATATATGTACACACATACACAAGAATAAACTTAAGTGGATGTAGGGTTTAGAAAAAAGGCAGCCCCAAAGAAACCTCAGTATCTGTACTTAGTGGAATAATCTTTTGGCGATACCACCAAACCTCGACCTTTGCGGGCTCCTCTATAAACAGTTTCTATAATGTCAATCATCTCTTGCTTGTCTTCCATTGCCCAGTTGATCTTGTTGTTATTACCTGTACCTAAATCAATCATGATGTGTTTGTTCCTTTAGAGGAAGAAAAAAAAAAAAAAGGCAAGTTAATATTGTATTATAATTCAGACAGAAACTTTCTATCACCCACAAGAACACTTTGTAGGATTCAGATGAAGCCCTTATAACATAAACGAGCTTGCAAAATCATCTCAAAGAAAGAGCTGCCACTCCTGCCACTCAAATTGACTATTTGTAAAACTAGAATAATGACTGCAAACATGCCCCCAAGATTGCTACCCAGTGCAATTATGCTTTAGCATATTCCTCATTGCCTGTATTTATTACTCACTACTGTCTAATATCAAAGAGTTTTACACTTGTCAGGTGTACATTATGGCTCATCAATGTAGATACTTTAGCACCAAAAACAACTTAATGCTTTGGGTATATCTTTAAAGCAAGTTTGACATGCTTGACTGCCATATTACTGCAGTATTCTATACAGGGGAGCTTCAGACTTAAAACTCAAAATAATGGATAACAAAACCAGCTTTCACTATCAATAATTTGTACTCTACCATTAAAACACTGTTACTAAGCTAACTGAAAAACAAGCCATTTTCCTATTTAATTTTCTTACTCTCTTTGTAGAGCAATGAAAATATAAACATCAGTATACTAATATGCATTTAGAAATTATTTACTGCAAAACTGAATTTGACACACCAAAAATTTAACTGAGTTACATTCTAGAACCATCATGTACCTGAAGAAAAACATGACGGTACAGGGATCATACAACTCGTACATCTTGTTGAAGTCTGGTACTTCAGTGATATCCACAAGATAAATAACAGCAAAGTTTTTTACCTAAACAGAAGACAGGAAATATGAAAGTATTATACAACCAAGCTTTTGATTATTTTTACTACCAATTAAAAGACAAACTTTCATTACTGCACCTTATTTTTCCAAAATTATTAAGTCATAAAATCACAGTAAACAGAAGACTTGCCATTACTTTGAACCACAGCCACCAATTAACATAAAAAATATTCTTAAATATAGCCAAGATGTTCATTTCACATCCATCATTAACTGAAAAGATACTATGCTAAATCAGTATCCAGAGAAACAAATGCCCTTTTTATATATAACAGAGACCTTGCAGTGACATGCGCAGCTCTAAACAAGTAGAATAACTGCTTTGTGCAAGCCAAGCTGGCACATGTTGCCTCTGTCATTAGCTGCTTATAGACTTCAGAAAATTAATGATCTAAAATGCCCTAGTGCCCACCTTCGAGCATTGTTCTCCTCTAAACCGTTTGATTTGTTTAACAAGACTCTTAGAGTGAAAATAAAACTGATAAATTTAATAATAAAACCTAACAGCTTTTTTGAGGTGTAAAGCTAGAAACAGAGCTTAAAAATGTAATTAATAATGAATAAAAGATCTTGATGAGAACCTATTCTCTGGGCAATTCTGGTAAAACAGGCTTTTGTTTTGCAGTTACTGAGTAAACATACAAGAATCCCTCCCCTTTAATGTCATAGTTAAAGTCTTAATTCCAGAAACAAAACTGTGTCACATTTTTGTTTCTTAAATGTAGAATATTTGACCTGAAGTGGAAGTAGGGGAAGTTTTCGTTTCTAAACTTGGCTCATACATGTACAGTAGAAATTAACACACATATTAAAATATAAGTCAGTAGGCATCTAAAATTGCACAAGCATTTAACTGTACGGTGTATTACCAAATGCTCGTGCATTATACCATCACTGCACAACTTTGTTTACCCTGTCCTTACTTGCATGCAAATACAATTTCAGTCCTTTCAATCTCAATATGCAAAATTACTATCCTGAAATTAACACATGTGATCTAAGATTTATGACAAACTTACTGTTTGTCATAGTACTTCCCACTTGTTAATTATGCCATCCAATGTCTGAAAATGCTACGATGAGCTTAACTTCTGCTTAGGCAAAGATGTCTTATTTTAGTCCACAAAACAGGATTAGGCTGCACCAGAAAAATCTTATATATGGTATACCCTATACATGAACATCCTATCAGGTACTTTAACTGAGAAAGTATGGACATGTTTAGTTACAAAAAAGCCCTGAACAAACAAACCGCCCAGAAGCATCAGTAAATAATTTTTTATGGACTTCTGCTTCAAGAGAGTTGGTAAATTATAAAAAAATCATCACACTTCAGTATGTATTACTAGCAAGGAAAATTTCTTCTGATGTGAAACAGCATTAAAATAGTTCTTTTATGCTTTTTCTATGCTTTTATGGAGCCAGTTACAACCCTAGACTCTGTCAATCCAATGAAAATATCCCATTTAAGCCATGTTCCAAAACAGGCAAGAGGAAAAGCCTTGAAAATCTGATTTAGTCATAATAACAACACCCTCTGAAGCGATCATTCATGCCCATTAAAGTTTTATATGAAAGATTTCTAAGAAATGTAATGGAATGTTTGGAGTCAACAATTTAGCTGAGAAGTGACTGAAGTTACTCCCTGGTTAGCCTTAGGAGGCAAAAGATAACTGTGCGTGGGTTGTTTGCTGTTGTAATGTAGGATTTTTTAAAGCCAAAACCTGAAGAGCCATTTTCATTTTCTCCTATCATTTTTTCTTCCATCCTGCTGGCATTTTCAGCAACAGTAGCCCAGCTCTGCCATGTGGGGAAATTTCTACAACACATTCAGCAATTCTGACAAACTACACAATCTTTGAACAATTATTTAATTTGGAGATCAGAAAATAATTTTCAGTTAAACTAAGCATTAATACAACATTCTTAGGACCTGCTCTGTTCACTGAAAGTTTAGTCCAAGGTGATTATATGTTGCACCAGAAGGCCACTACAAAAGCACTGCTAAACTGAAAGATTACTTCCAAGAACTATGTACTCCACACAGCACTGGAACAACAAAACTTTTAAAGTTAATTTTACATTATTATACATTTAATTTAGTTGAGCTGTTGCAGAATCAGAAATGCTTGTCACCAGCAATGAACACTACCAGCCTAAGAATTTAGAAAAGAGAACTAGACTATTCAAGTCTAAGATACTACGTGAGTTACTCAAAAGGACTGCATCCCTCAAATCACCTCTGCCCAGCACGTACACAAGTTACCACCAAGTATCTCAGACATTAACTGAATCTTCTTTCTCTCCTACCTCCTTTTATAGAAGTGAAACTGGTGACAGTTGCCTACTCAAAAAGCTTGTATGAAATCTAAGCAGACCTCAAAGCTCGATACAGACTCTCAAATTTAAATTTGGAACTTTTAAAATTTGCTCTGCTCTTTCCCCCTTGCTGGCTTAATTCCCTATCTGACAAGATTAAACACAAGAATGTGCTTTGTTGAGTTTGGACACTGGCTGCCAAGGTTGCCTGTGATATGGGTCTTGCCATGCAACACTCCAATATATGTAGCTGCAGGAGGCTGGGATTCAGGCCTAAGAATGAACTAGATAAAAACATGGCTAAGAGGCTAAATACAGAAAGGTAACGCAGAAGCACTGCAGTGACCCTAGTGACGTCACCATGCCAGACAGGGTAGACTTGTTACCAAGAGGTACTTTATTTCAGCACAAGACAAGCCCTGCAGAACTACTCATGTGTCTTTGCATAGTATTGACCAGTTCTACAGCCTGAAGACACATTTACTGTCTCAGACACATCAGAGCCAAGATACAGAATCACAGCAGTATAGAGCAGTATCTATACAGCTTCACAGCAGTATAGAGCAGTATCCCAGCTGGCTTCATATACAGCTCTGATTCACAAGGCTTTACTTTAGGCTTCATTTTAAACAAAGCAATTTTACGTATTTATGGATTCAGGCTTGCATGTATGTTGGATCTATATGTGAACTAGTAAGTCTGTAAAGACAAACCAAAGCTTAACCTCTCCCCATCCTTTGGGACGTGAATCTATTTCCCAGATAGGGTTGTCAGTTCAAAAAACTACATTCTTACACAGAATAAGCTTGCTATTGTTTCAAGGCAGTGGCTGCTAAGAGGTTCTGAGTTATAACTATGGATATACTATGGAGGCCTCAGAACAAGAATTAAATACAACTTGGAGCAAGCAAACCGCACTAAATAAAAGCAGTTGCAGTTGTAGCAATTGAGACTATATTAACATTGTTAACATAAACCAAAAATTTACTGCTCAGAAAATATGCAACAGATCTTCTGGCATTTTAGAAGTCAAATACATTATAACACAAACTCATTCTGAAAGTACTTAACCTTGTAAAATACAGTGTATCTATAGGATTCTTAACATCAGATACAGATTCTTTAGTCTGATCTTGATAAAGACCACACACTTAGATGGTAAATAGGAAACACAGACGTAGAAAAAAAATTATACACCAGATTAACTAAATCTCACTTTTCCTCCAAAGTTTTCCCTCCTGACTTTCTTCATTAGGAATGCCATTCAAAAAAGAACTCGTGCATTCCTACAACATGAGATTATTACAGCAATATTCGATCAATGACTAGGAAGAATGGCAACAATAATGAAGTTTCCTTAAATTTCTGTTAGGGGTAAGTAATACTTTGTTGTTGTTGTTGTTAAGATTTGGCTCCTATTAGAAGCAAATTTCACAAGCATAACATTACCTTATGGCCCAAAGTATATACACCAAATACCTACGCAAATCTGAGACAAGATTCTATTTTCTCATCTTGCTAACCAGTTTTCAGACAATTTTTTTTTATGTTTATATGTCTTTATGGACAAGCAAATCAAAGGGGGGAAAGAAAAAGGTACAAAAACTGAGATTAGCCTTTGCAACAAAACATTCAAGTTGAAGGCGTCTAGCAGACTTGCATTACTGAACTGAAAGAGGCTGCAAACACAGTACAAACTTAAGAATCTGTACTGTACATATCTATTTGATTTTTTTCTTGCTGATTTTGCTGTAAGTTTAGGTGACAAATTTCCTGGGGAAAAGGGAAAGGCATTATACACCTGAGAAAAATGCTTACAGCTAATAATTTTGAAAACTACAGACATAAGTAAATGGATCAACTTTAATTATAAGCACCAGTAACTCTAATACCAATATGCTTTTTTTTATAGCTTCCTCCTCCCTGCCCCCCTTCTTTTCCTCTCTCTTTTTGTTCATGTAACCTTAGCAGAAAGGCAGAGGCACAACTAATGTCTGAGCAAAAGCCACAGCTATTCACGCTTCTGATTACAGTTAAATAAAAGCAGAACATTTGAACAATCTTCCCTAAACCCACAGTGACCCAATGCAACCTATTGGTTAAAGTAAGCTGGTTTCACAAGAGGTTATCCGATTTACAGTATTCAGTCCTAGATAAACCATGAGTTTAAAACATTACCTAAAAAAAAGTGGTATTAAAGTAATTTAGCAGCCAAAGCCCTGTGTTTCAGGGGACAGGGTTTTATAATTGTGAGCTTTCTTTAAAAAAAAAGAAAAAAAAAGGTACGTTTTTAAAAAAGGTGTTCAGAGGAATTTTCTGAAACTTAATTCCTAGCTTTCTGGTTGCAACCCTGACAAAGCAAAAATCTAACATCTTATAATTGTCATTTGTTTTGACACTGAGTGAAACCTAGCTTCTTTTTCATTTAACACAGGAGGTGGAACAGAACATTCAACTCTAAGTGGAGTACATTTCAGTGAAAATAAACCTTTTTGTATTTTCATACAGTGTTCTAGTTTCCCTTCTCCAAAGAGGATTCAGACTGAAAAATTACCATTTTCCTACTGTAAAGTACAGATAAATATTACTGCTACCCCAAAATACACTGCAGATTGAAAGAATATTGCACCATGGTAACAAATGTAAAATATGGCTACACTTTCTTCAAATGTAGCATGCAGTTACAGCATGTTAACATTCTGTATTATTCTCTAGTACAAACACCTGTACAATTGGAACTTTTACTCACTCTTTAAAACAGCAGAGATCCAAACATGGCTTGTAAGCAAGAAGATGAGGAAGGATCTCCCCCTTTAATTTGCCATTTCTGCAGAGGGAGATTTTTAGATAAGAAGTTATATTGTTCTTTCTTCCCCCAGTCACCCCTAACTGCCAGTATGTCTGCTGAATTGCCAAGTAACCTGCCAAGATACTTACAGTACCTGAGCATAAGACACTCCCAACACATGAAACACAAAACTAAATCAAACCATGTCACAACTCCTTACTGTAATCCATCTTAACAGTTAGCTATAGGTTTAGATCTTTCATAGTAGGGGATTTCGAGACAGATGTTCATTTATTTAAAAACAGCACTAAACCAGGAAGGAGTACACCACAAAAATAACTGGATATCAAGTTATGCAGTATGCACACAATTTTACATGAAGATAGTCAACTCCTTTTCCTATCCAAGTTACTGGCTTTTTTTCATCATTTTCTGTGTGACCCAGTTAAAGAACAGCTATCAATTTCCTACATCTATTACTATGCAAAACCTTTACCAAATACATGAAAAGGTAAACTATAGCTAATTCTACATGTTAATAGTTCAAGTTTGCTTCAAGATCTACCTTCCCTATGTGGGTGATCAGCTTTCAGCAGGCATTTGGTTTCAATCTGAAAACAGATTCAGACTTCGGCTCCTAAAATTTAATTCAACCTATGCAACTCAATGGAATGCCATCTGTCTCCATGAATACTATCACTGACAGATTAATCGACATCTTCCTGTGCATTTTTGGATGCCACAATTTTTAAGAGTCAAAATGAAAGTAACTTTTCACGTTGTTTAAATGGAAATCAGAAGCTACTATACATTCTCATTGTAAAGTGAAAGTGCTGCATTATCTAGAACCACGGCAGTTCTGCTATCAAACACTTGTTTCTGCTTGAATGCTGACGTTCATTAAATGATGATTAACAGGCAATTTTAATTTCAGAATTTGCAACACTCATTTCCCCACAATACTACAAACACCAGAGTAGTCAATGACTTTAGGAGTCGCTCACAAAATCAATCAACCAGCTTTCTCGGTGCCTCCTAAAGCTGGAATACCTTTCCAGAAACTGAGTTATAACCTGCCTCAGGCTTTGTATAAACCCTTTGAAACACTGAAGCGCAGAAAACAATCGCCTTACGTTACAGCCCCAGTTTACCTTCTCAGCAATGCTGTACAAGACTTCGTCCATCTTCATGCAGGTCGGGTCCCAGTCATGCCCAAAGCGGATGACCACGACTCGGTCCTCTTCCGAGAGGATGGCCTGATCCACCTGCCAGCCATTGTGCAAGTGCGGCAACATGTACGACATCCTGCAGGACTAGCGGCGAGCCTGCGGGACAACAGCGACCGCCCGGGAGCTGACAGACCGGCTTGCCTTCGCACGGCACCCCCGCCACACTCCCACAGGCCTAACCCTCCATTCAGCGGCCGCACCACAGCAGTGCTGCCACCTCACTGGGCCCCTACGAGGCGTCGGCGGCCACCGGCGCCAGGGCCGAGTCCCCCCACCCCCATCCCTGCCCCCGGCCCGCCCCACTCCGCCGCACGCCGTACGCGCCGCACCCCTCGGGCTTCCTTCTCTCGGTGAAACGGGACGACGGAGCCACAACGTGAGAGAAAGCGGAAGTGACCGCATGCATTTCCTGCGGCCGGGCACGCTGGGAAAGGCGCTTTCGGGCCGGGGTTTCCGTCAGTGGGCGGGGCAGAGCGCGTCGAAGGGGCGGGGGAGGCCGCTTGGACCGGACCAAGTGTGGTGTCGGGCGGGGGGGTGGTAGAACGGCTCGGACCACCAAATAGTCAGTACTTGAACACACTGGTAAATGTTTCAGTTGAAGTCATAGGCAGCGAAACGTGGACATTTGAACGTTAGGTTACAGACTGAGCTGACTATTAAGATTGGGCATCCCAGGCCGATTATTGCTTTCTGGAGAGCTTGTATGTTATTCTGTGCTGTTATTCTTTACTGTGAGGGTGCCGAAGCGCTGGCACAGATTGCCCGGAGAAGCTGTGGCTGCCCCATGCCTGACAATGTTCAAGGCCAGGTTGGACCGGGCTTGGAGCAACCTGTTCTACTGTGAGGTGTCCCTGCCCATGGCAGGGGGTAGAAGAACTTAAGGGTCCTTTCCAACCCAAACCATTCTATGACTCTACAATTCTAATCTCCACCATGCAGGGGCAGGGCGGATGTGCCCCTTTGGGATCCGGAACTGTGAGCTGCCCGCTCCGCCGGCTGCGCTTCAGTCGAGCTGCGTCAGGGACACCAGAAAGTAAGAAACAAGCCCCGGTTAATTCTGCGGTGGTTACTTAGGTAATTTACTTTCTTATATGGAGAAGTTAGTGGGATGGATTTATTCTGGATAACGTATGCTATTGGATGCAACTTGAAACAGCTAGGGAAAATTGCATAGGTTTATTTCATAGAATCACAGAGTGGTTTGGGTTGGAAGGGACCCTAAAGCTTAATCCAGCTCCAACCGCGTGCCACGGGCAGCGACACCTTCCACTAGACCAGGTTGCTCATGTGATAACAGCAGTGCTAGTCAACAAATCTGCAAGTTAAGTGGTAAGTCACACTCAACAAAAGAAGTAAGGCCACTTCAGTTAGCACTGAAGTTAATACTTGAATGCAGTCCTTTATATTTGTCACTTGGCTCAATCCGAGTCATATTTTTCAAGTTTTCTCTGCCATTCAAGCACCAGAATTTAGTACACATACATTATATCAGTGTTACATATGATTATAGATGTACGCATACATGGAAGTATATAATCTTACGTAAATAGAAACTGAGGAGCAACAGCTTTAAAGAAGAGAGTTAGCAATACTGCAGATACTAGTCCAAAACCCAAATTGTCATATCCTTAACAGGTGTTACATTTAGCACACTGGACAAGACATCCATAACTGAGTAATGATGCTCAGAAGCAAAGCATTCAGTCTGTTAAAACCAATTCCCTTGATGTTTGGCCAGTCAAATTTGGCTTGTAAATGTATTCATCCCGCTATTGCTTCTCATGGACATCGCTGTCACAGGAGAAGTCTTGTGGATTACAGACAGAGGTACAAGACATACTCATGTAGTGCTGGAGGACGAACAGTAAGTGCTTCTCACACCAAGGTTGGTATCTGGAGAGCCCCCTTACCTCTAAAAGGTTCCTTTAAATGTTTTTAATTTACTGCTGTCAATAATTTTTTAAGATTGTACCTGGACTAGCAGAACTCCGGTTCTTGAACCTGAGACAAGGAGGCGCAAAAGCACAAAAAGTAATCAGTTCTAAGCAATGTTAAGTGTGATGGCTTTGTAATTGAAAATAACTGCGGTGCTTGAAGGTAGCTGACAGTTTCAGGTCCTTCAGACCTTAGTGCAAAAGGTGTCAGAAAAGCAGAATAGAAAAACAGGACCTGGGGATGGGGAGTATCTGGGACTAGCAGATGTCCAGGGTGGACACAGATAAACTGATAAGTAGAAGGACAGGATGATTGCTATGTTTGGTGTTAATAAAGCCATTAAGCTGGTGTAAACATCTACTGGGGAGTATCCTGGAGTAGCTGATGTCCAGGATGGGAGCAGTTAAACTAACCGTTAAGTAGAAGGGCAGGATGACTGCTATGTCTGTAATGTTAATTAAGCTTGTTGGGAAAAGTAAACGACCCTTAAAGACCACCACATTTTTGTATGCATGCGGGAAACTGTCTGGAAATGATGTAATATGCCCAGTAACTATATAAGGATGGCCTGCATGGCAATACGGGGACACACGTTAGGAGGAGCTATACCCCCGTGTCTCCCGGCGCCACAATAAATACCTGCTTGTCAACTTGAAACTCTAATGGTGAGTTTGTTCCTGGAGTTTTCTCCGAATCAACCCAAAGTTGCAGCCTGTTAGTGACTCATGTGAGCATCAAACACGGCAGAAATTGTGGTGAACTAGTATGTCTGTGCTAATGAAAGATCAGTTACGCTCAACTAGCCTGTTTCTAATGCACCATCTGGTTTGTTTAAGGCTAAAGCAGCTCTTCCTGCTGAGACAAGGGGGGGGCACAAAATTACAAAATGGAATATATAAACCTTTAGAATCAGTTTTAAGTAACGTTAAGTTTGATGGCTTTATAACAGTAGCAATGGAAAATTACTGAGGTGCCTTATATATAGAAAAAAAAACAGAGTACAGCTAGAGAACATACTGAGAATTCTTGTACAAGATAAATCGTTATAGTTGACGTAGTTTTAAGAAAAACAGTCTAGAAGGACAGGTTGCAAGGATAGGGAGTATCTGGGAATGGCAGGTGTCCAGCATGGGCTACGGTTAAACTAACTGATAAGTAGGAGGATAGGAGGATTATTATTTCTGTGGTGCTAACAAACCAATTAAGCTGGTATAAGCATCTACTGCGCATGCTTCAAAGGCTGCCAGAAGTGATGAAGATTGTTGGAAGAAGTAAACGACCCTCAGAGACCACCACCACAATTTTGTACGCATGCGGGGAATGCTCTGGGAAATAATGTAATCCATACATAACCTCATGAATATGTATGTATGCCCAGTGGCTAACAGAGACACACCTTAGGAGGAGCTATCCCCCATGTCTCCCGGTGCCGCAGTGAAGAATACCTGCTTGTCAGCTTGAAAACTTTGTTGTCAAGTTTGTTCCTGGAGTTTTCTCCAAATCACTGCACTGCACTGTGGCTTCCTCATGGATCACCTTGTCTGCTTGTGAAGTTTAGGAAGTGCTTCTAAAATTAATGTAGATCTAACTCTGACCTTCGTAAGTGATGTAGTGTAGTGGAGGAGTGGTGATGAAAGCAGATGGTGTAATACAGTGCTGCCTTATAGCGTAAGGTTTAGTTGATGTCCAGTCTAAGTAACTTGCTGCAGGAGCCTCAGGTTGTGATTATCAAGAAGCTGGACAACACTCACAGTATGACATCAGATCTTGTCTTTTATTCTGTGCATAATTCACTCTCTAATTTATCCTTGTAAGGTCATGTTGTGTAATACTGTAAAAGATAACGCAGATTACGGATGCGGAAATGTGCACAATTTTCACAAGCATATGTGGGTTCAGCATACTTCGGTTGGCAAGAAATAGATATATTTAAGAACACAGTATTCTTTTGCAATATGCTTGCACTATTCATCTCATTGCTTTTTTTGCTGCTGTTCAGAACCAGTGTTACCAGAGACACTGTTCAGGGTGAACTGCAGACCTGGCCTAACATGGAGGCCCTTTCTAGCCCATCTATAGCAGCAGATGGGAACTGGGGCAGAAATGCAGGTCAGGGCCAGGATAAAGAAGCGGTGTTGCTGGTGTTGAGGTTGTAAGCATTTAACAGCTGGAGTTGGGATAACACTGAGTCTGCTAAGGAAAAGGGAAAATACAATTTGTCAGAAACTGTCAATATGCACTGATACTTTTTGTTGCAGGTTTGAATTCTGGTTACTCCGTGAAGGCTTGTGTGAGAGGACTGATGCAGCAGAAAATCTCTGCCCAGCACTGTGTGCCCAGATTAAATCAGCACACTTGTGAAAAGTTATTCTGATTCTGTTAGAGCAGCGTCAGGTGTCCTGGACCCAAGTCTACAACACAGTATGTGATAGAGTCCTAAAGTGATTGGAGCACAGCAAACAGAATTGTAAGAAATTAAGTACAGCTGTGTTTAAGACATGCAGCAAATCTTCAGCTACCATTTTTTGTAGCTGTAAGGGCTACCTCTAATTAGGCATATGGCTATCTGTGGAGCTCCTGTCTTATTGCAGCATACAATACATTTGCTTGAGTACTGCGGAGAGGACTAGGCTCAAAACCATAGAGCAGGAGTAAAGTTCTAAACAACTCTGTAGGGGAAAAGTTATAGTATGAACAGCTCTGTTGTCAGTGGTACTTAACACATGTTCTTCCCCACTGGTTCAGCATGGAGGCATGGGTATGCTAAATTTTGCAAGAGGTAAGTTCAAGTACAGATCCAGGTGTTTAAAGCATTGAAGGGCAAGTAGTGTGGTAGCTGGCTCTTCATCATGCACATTTCTTAGGCTTAACCCATTCCTGACAGATGTTTGTCAGACCCAGCTGAGCCTCAGTGCCTCCCTACGCTATCTGCAGCTTCACCAAGTATCATCAATAGGCAAGAAATTTTGAGTAACTTTCTATCAGCCTTTGTTTCATACCACTGCTTATAGAAATGAATTTGGGAATAAGGCTGAGAAGCTACTAGATTTGTGTAAGATCAACACTGATTCAGGACTAAAATGAAACTGTTTGAGAAGAGCACCTTGTAGGACTGAGTTTAGATTGCATGGATGGGTATTCCTTGGTGTTATATTTTAAATCAGCAGTTAGTGAAAACACTGGGAAGTTGTCTAATGTACCACTAGTACCAAGGGACTGTGGATTTATTCTGTTCATTAAAAGCAATATTGAATTCCATTAGTTTCCTGTCTTACAGATGTGAATTCAAATTATCACTACAGCATCACTCCTTTAAGGGTGTTCTCCTAAACACAGGAATATTTCTTCTATTCCTCTGTTGCAGGTCATGGCAGAAGACTTGCCAGGCGTTTTGATTGTGGATATAGGGGGAACTCATGGTGTGCTAGAAAATCTTGCAGCGCTTTTGAAGAAACACTTTCACCTTATTACCATGAAGGAGTTTCTTGAAAACAAAAAGGAAATGAGCAAAAAAATCGAGTCTGTTTTTGTGTTTG